TTCATAACAAATAAATTTGGCCGAAAAAAACCATTGTTCATCACGGCATTTCCAACAATTGTAAGTATTAAACTTGAAAGGAACGAATTGGAGTCGATGAATTGAATCAAATGTGATATGCGGCAACATTTTTCAAATTGATTTTCTATTTACAGATTAGTTGGATATTAGTTTTAATTGCACCTAACGTATACTATCTGTACGCATCGAGATTATTGGCGGGCTTCTTCGGTGGTGGTGTCTACGTGATCGTTCCTCTCTATCTCTCCGAGTTATCAAACAATCGGTAAAATCAAAAGAATTTGCAAATATTCTTCCAGATATGACTCCAAAATTATTCGAATTTCAGAATCCGAGGTGCTTTGATCTCTTCTTTGGTGCTAAGTGAAAGTTTCGGCATTGTGTTAGCCTTCATTTTTGGACATTATTTTGATTTTTATACTCTGCCCATATTGGTCATTTCACTGATGTCCTTGTTTGCTTTCCTTTTATACTTCTTTCCTGAAACTCCAACATTTCTCGTCAAACAGCATCGAATTCTCGTATGTTTGCGATTCCGATTCTTATTTTTCCAGTTGTGTCAACACAAGCATAAAATTCATTTTTATCAAACATTCATTTGCAGCAAGCCGAAAAGTCCATAAGATTTTATCAAAATTTAAGCGAAGGATATAAGGAAGATAAGCTAGTCAAAATGGAAATAAATAAACTAACGAATAATGAAGAAGAAAGTAAGAAAAAGACCATCAAATGGTCAGATTTGACGGCAATACCCGTGCGAAGGGCGTTCACAATTGGAATTGTCTTAATTGTACTGAATGAGCTGAGCGGTTTTTTGGCAATGTTGAACTACACTGCAAATATATTCGAAGATGCTGGCTCAGATTTGCATCCAAATGTATCGGCCATTGTGATTGGAGCGATCCAACTATTCGGCACAGCAATTGCAATGAATCTAGTTGACCGAACTGGACGAAAGGTGAACATTTTCATGCAATCACTATGCACACCTAATTTCGTTACAAAGTGAAATGTATTTTTTTTCAGATCTTATTTGCAGTGTCAAATATTGGAACAGCATTGGGATTCATTGTGTTGGGTGTATACATGATGTTCAAGCTGAGAGATTATCCCGTTGAAGATTTCAATTGGATTCCAGTCATGAGTTTTTCATTCATCAGCCTTATTGCATCGTTGGGTATTGTCAGCTTACCGTTGCTTGTTTTCTCCGAAGTTGTGCCTGAGAAATTAAAGGATTTTGGTGTAGCTGCTTATTTGACACTTTCTTATTTGGCCGCATCCGTGTTAATCAAATATTTACCAATTATAATCGATTCAGTAGGATTTGATATGAGCATGTTCCTGTTTGCCGGACTGTGTGTTGCTTGTGAAGTGTACATCATTTTTTCCGTGCCGGAAACAAAAGGAAAAAGTCACGAAGATATTATAGAAGCAATGACAGCTCACTAAATAGCTTAATCAATGATATAATTGTTATAAAGAACTTGAAAGATAAATTCATTGCCCACTTTTTCTTGGTGATAATCTCTTTTTGTACGTCACAACTTCTTATCACAATTTATCTGATAAAAAATGATGTGATCATGACCTTTAACAATTAAGTGTACTGGTATCAATTGGATTAAACACTCCTGGAGCGCTTGAATCTGTCATATTATTATCATTGTTAAATCATATTTATTAAATTAAATAGTATTATTACTATTGAAGATTTAAGTATTTACAGATACTCGTTTCTAACTTACATGACACAATTTCATTTTCAATTGGATTAAATCATCTTCTAAAATATGATTCGTAATTAGAACTGTCAAAGATGATAAATCATTGTTTCATACATTTTTCACCTTAAACAGTTGCTTTATACCAAGTGCAAATACTAGTTGAATGCAAACTCAAATACCAAGTCGTAATGTCGCCACGAGTTTCCAAGTTGTTTGTACGTCAATGATTTGGGCAGAGTTTGAAACAATTTATTTGGTATTAATTTGGTATGTTAGTTCAAAATTCCTTGAAAAATCGAACTTTTGTTCGGGAGGTACCCAAAATAGGCTCCCAGGAGGATTTTATCACTCCAACCCGATTTATTTCATCAAAATAATAGGGGCCCAGGAACAACCTAGCACCCGCTAACCTACATTTTTCGTATCAAATCGGTATAATAATTCAAAATTTCTTGCATTTTTTTGTTCTTAATTTTGTTAAAAATCGTGCTTTTGTATGAGAGTTTCAAATCACTCCTTCGCTCATTCATGTGGCTCTATAGATTCGAAGGGCTGCCATATAAATACAATGTAAAAGAAAGACGCGTTATGATTTTGGTCAAGAAAAATGTGGTTATTTTAAGTTGTATTTTTTTCAACTCGTCACATTTTGTTCCAATTTTTTCAGTATTCAGACGACAATAAAGACAATCAGACGTTTTATTTCATTTGAATACCCAACATCAAGATTTTCGGAATCATAATACAATTTTCCATAAAATACTGTTGTTTTTTTCTGAAAATTCTTAAAAATTTCCTAGGCAAAATCTGAATAAAAGCTGAACGCTATGAAAACGGTGCGGAAAAGTTCGTCTTACGGAGGAAAGACTATTTATTCGTGGGTGATTTCAAAGTCATAAAGTTATGTATGAACAAAGAGATACTGATTACTCTTCGTCAGCATTTGGTGGTAGCAGCCCATAGTAGATGATCAATTTTCAATTGGTAACAACAATGAAAAAATTACCATTTGCGAACAAAAAGACTAATTAATTACCATTCCAATAAAATCCAAACCGATAAATCACTCTGTCCTAAAATAAAATCAGCCATCTTGAACTGATTATACTCACGTTTATATGCACAAGAACATTATCAATTGATCCCACTAAATTTGATTCGAATCCACAGATATCCTTCATACAATTCAACACATGCTCATTGAGCGAGCGGAAAATCGATCTCTAACCATTTATGTCCAAGTTTAGTTTCAGTTAATTCAAAGATAATTGTACTCACATTCAGCCCAAGAATAACTCATTCCTTTCTAGAAAGTAAAAATCGACTTTTACTTAAAAACTCACCCATGAATCAATTTCCTTGAACAAATTTCCTCAATCGCTCCGTTTATATGATCAAAAAAGACTTTATTTTTTTAGAGAAGTTCTTCCGTTGCCAATCCTGTATTAAATGTGTAATTGATTGATAAATAGACTTACATATCCATTAAATTGTCATAATATTCGTTTATTTTAACATTTAGAAACAATGAAATTGTCGTAAATCAATTGTCGTCATTTAACAAGAATGAGGTAACTCTTTCTAAAGATTTTGCATCACAATGATGTTAAACTACAAGAAAATCGTATCATTCTACGTATTGTTAAACATACTCTAAATCAATGTCGTATAAATATCAGAAATGTATTTCAGTTCATTTGAAAATGGCAAGTGTCCGTACTTGGTAAGAAATTTGATACATTTCTTCTTGACAGCCGATGTGTTCATATTGTCGACTTGATCCGTTTTGAAGGTGCGTTGAATAAACTTGAAGCATGGATCCAATTTCATTTTCGTACTGTCAGCGATTTGACCGCGCGGTTCACATTTATCGCATTTGCATTCGAAATTCCATTTGGTTTTGAGTAAATGCTGTCGCTGCTTTGCCGTTTGCTCGTCATCTGGTCCCAAATAGCTAATGAAGAGTTGTTCACCTTTTTTCACCGGTCGAATTGTGACGCAGAATTTTCGATTGTCAACGGAATAGTTGTAGAGATTCGGAGCGCACGAGTGATTGAGCAGTGACAAAACGGTGCCGATTGAGGCGGTGTATTCACTTTCGGTTGCGTTTGTTACATTGATGGCCAAGTGATGCAGTATCAAATGCATCAAAAATCGTTGTTTTCCCTCTGAATCGAATGCTCGTTCGATGGATGGAATAATCATGATGCTTTTGAACAGCTTATACACGTCTAGCACAACATTCGCATTCAGTGGTAACTTTTTCAGCCTCAAATACAGTCGATATTTTGATTGTAAGTCCGTAATAGATTCGGGCAAAACGTCATCTTTTTCGCCGGCTTCAACGCATTCAATCAAATCATCGATGTTCGGGAATGCTGCGACTGCAATTAAAATCGTTTGAATGGTGAATTTTGCCTTGCAATGCATACGATGGTACGGTGTGTTGCAGTCCAACTGGTGCACAAGATTCTCTTCCAAACATTTGTTGCTGCAAAAAACCACATCGGAGCATTTTGAACACGCGATGAAATTGGCCACTTCTGTCAAACAATTGTAGCATGTCATTTGCTCATCGGACTTTGCGACCGATGCAAAACTTTGCTCCATCAACACCATTTGCCCCACATCGATATCACATTTCGCTACTAAATGACGTCCAAATTGAGTATTGTTGGTGATTGTCAATGTGTTGGCAATGCATGGAAAATTCCGATCGTCTGTGAAGCTCCGCTTTGGCTCTGTCAGTTCATTCGAATTTGATATCACTACCTTTCGGCAATCGGCTCGCAATTTTTCCAATTTGACAATCATTTCTGCGGGGCAGTTGGCTTCGAGTGCGAGTTCAATGTCTGTCATCGCTTGCTGGTACATTTTCATGTAGAAAAAACACTTTGCTCGACTCGCAAATGCCATTGACTCATTTTCCGTGCCGACTTCAGCGTAACACAATGCTTTGGTGTACAATTCCATTGCATGGTAAAACTGTTTGTTGCAAAATAGTTCACTACCTTTGCGAATCAGTTCGGATGACTTTTCATTGTTTTTGGCCGGCACTTCACTGTGTTTTGATTTGAGAGTTTGCACATGTTCATCCCATTTTTTGGTTTCGTCAACGAATTGGCTATCGGTGGACTTGAAGAGATTGATATACAACGATTCGACACGATTCGCTTCCTTTCGCCACAAACTATCCATAATTTATTGGAATTTTGATAACTTTCAATATTTTCGGTACACGGTATCGCCTCGGTTTGACGTGATGTACGGATGCATCGACACAACACATCAACACATGCCAACTGTCAACTGCCGAATGCTAACAACAGAACAATTCTTGGAACTTTTCGAAAGAAAAAGAAATCGAACTGCTGAAACAGCAGATTTCATAAGAGCAACAAAACCAAATACAATAATAAATACGAATCATTCATTCCCAGCGTGTTAACAGATATTTCATTTATACTTTGCAATACTTTCGGCAGATGGTGTTGATCAGCTGGATTTGACATAACTTGATTTGTCTAATGAATGACATTTCATGCTTTCGATTCAGTTTGTTTACCATTGCTTTTTGAATAATAGAATAGACTACGCTTCAACCAACTGATAAATTTAGCATTTTTCAATTAGCTCCAGTTTTGAAAGACAATCGCCTTGACACATTTAATTAAACAACAATGATGCCGATAATTTTCATGCAGCCAGGAGCTTGTCGTTCATTTGAATTACCGATACCGAGGCATTTTCACAATTATGGTATGTTCTATTTGTTTACATACGTGAACAAGAAATCAGCAGTATTTTCCAGTATTCACTAGATTGAATGAACAGAATTAATTTATTCCATTCATTGCACTGTTCAGTGTGAGTAATTTAAATTGATATGTTCCTTTTTAGAAATTGAACGTACACCTTATTGAAGCATAACAGAAGGGAATGTGGTTGGTTGAATCGCATCACCAGTGCAGCCTCGATTGTTCAATTGGAATCAATGCAAAATGACGAACACATCACATCTACCATCTGACTGAAATTAAATTGCGAACTAGGAGTGTGAAAGAACACAATGGAATCACTTTAGTTGGACTGCATCTTCAAGTTATGTTCGGGTTGAATTCTCGATTTGAATTTGAATAAACACGTAGATTAAAATTACAATTTCAGAATTATCTCAATTCCATACTCAACGATCAACGACAACAATGAATATTGGATGGAGATTATTTCGATTTGGATACTATCTAATATGGCCGAGTTGAAGCAACGACGAATCTGAGCTGAAATGGAACGAATCGAGTCATTTGCTAAGAGCAATCTTCCGAGTTATATAGGAGCAAGTGGCAAAGTTATTTACAATTTCTGAACGAAGTAAACTTACCGATTTTTATGACTCATTTCATGTGAATAAATAGCTTGGAAATGCCTTGGAATGCAGTTGTTGTGATAATCAAATGCAAAAAATTAATATATGGAGGGAGAAAACATGCAGAAAATCGAAGTGATTTTCAGAAAATGAGAAATAGCCATTTATAATTAAATTTAAAGAGAATATTCGTAAATAAATGAAAAAAAACCTTTTACTCAATCAATTTGCATGTTAAGAAAAGACACATGGAAAGCAAACATGTGATGAATAGGTAAAAACTATCGTATATTAAATACATACAATCATACTCGAAACTTCGTTCATTTTGTTTTTTCTTTCGTTTTCTTGGTGATTTTTGAAGGAGAATCATGTGTATGATACGTAACTATCTCAATTGTCCTGCTTCTCTCAACAGCTCTGCTTTCTATATTTCATTTACATTTGATTTCACTCGAATAACATTAACTTGGAAACTTTTCTAACTCTTCAATACACGTTACAAATTGACATTCATGGTTATAAGAAATTTTTTTTCTATATAAACTCCACCTTAACCGTAAATCTCAGCTAGAAATGACAATACACCGCTGTGAGTGCAGTAAAATACCGCTTCAGGCGCCTGAGATAGCAAATTCAGCTCAGCTCAGACCTACTCAGCGGCAAATATGCAGTCTCTGAACATTACAATCGTCGAGAAACTGGGTGAAAAGTGAGTTGAGCTTATCGTTGGCTTGAAACCATTTACATCGTGGTCTTTCAGTCAAATATTGACTGAATGATGATGCCATTGATTACATTAACGAGCTCGAAATATACGCCGCGGATGTATGAATGTATGATAAGTTAAGGATATTACTAAATTAACTGGATTTTAATAATATTTAAATATTTAATCGTCTAAGGGAAGCGGGAAATTCTGGTTACTATACTTGCCTACGTCATTTTCAACATTGAATCATATATTAATTATCGTTGAGCAAAAAAAATGAACGTATAGTCGAGTTGACTTGAGTTTCAAGATGTGCGCAAAGTTGGGGACACAAAAATCTAAGAAATATTCAAAACTTTTTTATTCGGTGCGATAGTAAATAAATTAGCAAGTTGGGTGATTCCATGTATAGCATATGCAATATATTCACTGCAGAAAGACAACAATAACTTGTTTATCTTCTTATAAAAGCAAATTCCAACGCGTTCTTGTATCATTTTCAATTAAAAAAAGAGGCCCCTTGAGACTTTGGCTTAGTTGCTGTACATCACACAGAAGGTGTGATATTGACAAATAAAGAATTTAAAAAAAACTAAATAAAGAAAATAAAAAAATAAAAGAAAAATAAATAAAGAAATAAAACTAGCCTACATTCATTGTCATAGCTATAAGCCGCGCAACATAGTTACCTTTGCGATGCGACACCACTGGATATCTGGCTGTGGGTGAAGTGGATGATAAAAAAAAGAATCAAACACTAATTCGATTGTGTGAACACTTTATTAAAACTTTAATATTTATTTTTCGAGACGCCAACAAGTTATCAACTTTCTTTGGAGGACATTTTATGAGATTCGAGTTTATGATTTGCTTTTGAAATATTCAACCGAGAGTTATCTCCCTCTCTCTTTCACATTTTTATGTCTCTTTATCTCTCTAACCGTCCATCCAAAGTGAGATATTTTCTGAACATTGTTTTCTTCTGTGCTTGTCGATCCTTTGTTAAAACTTTTATTTCGACAATCTTGACACTTATTTATGTTCTTTTGCATTTTGAAACCGTTCATTGCAGCTAAAAGTCGATTATTTTCATGATAATACGATAACTAGTTTTCGTTTTTTCTTTCTCTCTTTGAGTTGCAAAGATATTACATGGAAAAACTGAAAGAAGTGAAAAATCAAGACACAGTCAACGAAAATATATGAATGAAAAAAGAAGAAAAATCAAGAAGACGAAGAAATGTGAAAGTAAGAAACGAACGTATAACACAATTGAAATGTATTTCAGTTTCAGTTTACTGACTGTGAAAACATACTTACAAAATGTAGTCAAATAGAAGAAATTTGTCAGTGGTGCAGAAATGTGCAGAGCACTTGTTACACAAGTGGAAAATGTTCATGTCGTGTCGAAATGATAAAACATACCGTACATATGCACCATGCAATGCATGCATATATACGTACATTTATGAAATAAGAAAAGAATCTTAAATAAATTTCGCCAATGTCTGAATTCATATGTATGTATGTATGTATAGAACTGAAAAGACAATAGAAACCATACACTAAAGTAAAATGAACGCCAGATGATTAATAAGTAGTGTATAATAGTATATTTCAAGTCAAGTTTTATGTACATTTTTTTTCTTGTTTTTTTTTCTCTTGTTGTTGTTGTTGAATAATAATTATGTGCCTTACATTCTATCCATAAATTTTGTTTCCTTAAATAGTATAGTAATAATATTGTGTATGTGTGTTCCTTATAAATTAGTTGTATTAATTTTGTTGTTGTTTTTGTTTGCGTTTCATCAGCTTCCTTAAATGATTTCATTTCAAGTGAATTTCGCTATATGAATGTTTATGGATTATCGTATAACTCATTAGATTAGATATAAATGTACACGATTTGGTCAACGGAAATGAAGGGACAAGGGACAAGGGAGGGAAATCCAACGACAAAATCGCCCTCTCCGCATTATATATGAATATCCCACATAATATTTCATACGTGATGCTCGTCGGACGACGAACAATAATCCCAAAGCACGTTATATGGAATGTGTTTCGGAGCAGAGAAGAGGGGAGACAATCTTTCGTCTCAAAGTGCCAACTTCATTCAGTCAACCAGTCACGAGTGCACATAAACACGTCAAACACATATTTTATATAAAATGAGATTTTTTCCAATTTTTTTTTTCAAAACATTTTTTTTCGTCCATTTTTTCTCAAAAAAGTTTCTTTTTTTCTCTCTCTCACTCTCACACAAACCTCACCATTTAACAAAAATTCATCAAATTTTTACATTCATTTTCACCAATTAGCTCATCGAAATTATTTTAACATGCCAAAATCTACCGAATGAAATCACTAAAAATAAACTCTCAATTTCAGTTTGGTCGAAAAGACAATCGCTTTTCATCTTGATTTTTTTGTTTTCTCAAATCACAATCATTAATCCATCTAATTGTTTTCCTCTTTAGCCTTTTCTAAATTAGAAAATCTACCATTTTTCTGTTGCTTTTTTTTTGCTAAAACCAATTTGGCCAACTAAAAAATATTGAACTAATTTCGATTGTGTGTTTTTTTTTTCATTCGCTTAAACAAAAGGATAATTTTAATTAAGAATTTTTCAAGTGTGTCAACTTTGAGCTGCACACAACTGATAAAATTTCCATTAATTTAGATTTAGTTAAAATTTAGATTAAAAAGAAAGGTTTTAAAAAAAAAAAAAAGAAGAATGGAGTGAATGTTCTTTGAACAAAAAAACGCATACTGTTTCATTAATTAAGCAAAATGAAGACCACATTATAAAATCTATGCATTCAAATTCAAGTTTGTTTAATTTCTAAACATAAAACACACATTGAATACGAATGATTGGTCCAATGACTTTGTCGTATGCGCCGATGTTCACTGAACTACAGATGCCTAAAATTTCGTGTTAATTTTTTTTTTGATTAGTTTTTTGTTTTTTGTTTCTTTTGTCTTAAATAAATCACAAATTTTGCCAAAAAAAATGAATTTTCTAAATTGTTGGGCTCGATTGAGAGTCTGAGAGGAAGGAACCAAAATCTTTGCCAATGCTCATACGATTTTATCTATGCCAATCTCAATCTTCTTCGTTTAATTTTTTTTAGTTGTTTTATTTCTTCTTTTTTCTAAATAAATTTTCATCATTTTTTCATTGTTGACGATTCAATGAAAATAGATTGTGTTTGTGTGGATCCACAAAATAGATTTTTTTTTGCTTTGTTTCTTTTTTCTCTTCTTGTTGTGTGTTTTCTGATAAAATTTCTAATAATTTTAACAATTAAAATGTGTTTTTTTTTACTTCGGATATAAATAAGCCCCGTGATAAATGACAGGAAATGTTTTGTTTCCATTTTGGTTACGTTGTTGTTTTTCCATATATCCAATACCGAAAAAAAACCGATGATC